CCTATTCTGAATGGGGCCTTAGTCAAAACACTGCCCAAATTGTATCAACTTTTGACTACTATTTCTCTGCTCCTAATGTACTGATGCTGTCACAGCTATCCATCTTACCGCCATCTTTTCTGCTGTGAGCCACTCGTCCTCCTCCATCTGAGCATGGCGGTGTGTGTAGTAGGATACGCTAGTGATCACCTTGTTCACTTCATTCAGAGCATTCATCTTGCCATTGAAAGACGAGATCTGCAGCAACCTGGAACAAGTTTCAATACTCGTGTTTTTTTCATGAAAATTCACCTTGTCATTGACAGATGAATTCTGAAAACACCTGTAAGCAATTCTAATATGTATATGATTACCAAAATACTTCTTGCTGATAAAATGATCTGCAGCAACATGGCAGTCACAACAAAAGTTTCATTTATTTCTCAGTATCTGACTTAAAAAAAAATTTGTTGAAAAAATCTAATCCACCTCCAGACATTACAGAGTGCAAAATGCATTGCTGACCTCGTAAAGTGCTAAGAAAAAAATTCAATTTGCGTGTATGTCAGCAAAGGAAAAAGTTCATCTTACCTTAGTATCATTTTTAACCTGAAAATCTCTAGATTTTTGACAGTTTCTTCCTGGTTGGGAATCCTGGACATGAGACACTTCAAAGCCTTGATAATCCCTGACAAAGCATCATTTTTGGCTTCTGATTTAGATTCCTTTTTCAATTCTTCATCTGTTAGATTTTCTAAGAACTTTGGGACAATTTCCTGTGTAATGAGGAAAGTAAGTCACTAAAAGATAAGACTACTTTCTTGCATTCATGTTGACATCTACCTTCAGATAGAACTACATAATACAAGAATTCCAGTGGTGAGTAAAATATTCACCAAAAGCTAACAGTATTCAAATTCCAATGGTAATTTTTCCTTTATTTCACTTAAAAATTTTGTTTTTCCTTCTAGTATGACACATGAAAAATATTATGTTCAACAAAACCAGATAAACAAAATGCTACACGACACTAATGTAAATGTACTTGCGACATGGTTCTTGTAATGTTAAACTGGAATGCATTAAATGTCTGCCACTTACCACAACAGGCATGAAATACTTCTCTACTGTCTGTGGGGTGAGGACTTCAAAACACAGTCCAAATGGCCTGGAAAAGATTGACATATAGACATGAAAGAAGCTTGTATTCATTTATGAAAATTGAAAGATTGTATGTAAGCTGGTTAAAAAGGGCAGTTGACCCCCCCCCCCTTCTCCCTGACTTATATGTGGAAGTGTATTAGGTATGACAGTGTGTACATGGAACATAGTTTTAAAGGACTGTGGAAGGTGTAACAATGTGTTAGAGAAGCAGAACCTCAGAAATCAATCTGATAGGTGTCACCATGTGTTTGGTGTGTGTGTCTGTATTGGAAATAATGATGCTACATGAAACATGGCAATGTTAAGGTCAAAACTTACCTTATCAAAGCAGCAATCACAGGTACTGTCAGTTGAGGACCTTTAGTAAATCTATCTAGCAGGATTTGAAATCCATTCAACTGCCCAAATTTGTTGACCAGATCAACCAACCAGCCCTGAAGGCAAGAACATATGGGTGCATCAAATCAACAGGAATCATCATATTACGAACACAATGCTTTCAAAAAATCTGGGTTCACTTTAACATTTGACAAAAATGAAAATGTAAAATGATTTTCTGTTGTCACCAAATCTAGCAAAAATAGAGTACAAAGGCAATTTTGCTTAAAAAAGCCTACTATTTCGCTTCAAGTAATTTCCTCCTAAAGACAGCACAGTAAATATAAAACCTTATAACAAAATGGCTCCAAATATCAGACACTGTGGGGAATTCCATACATAACATGCTTTGAGTATTCACTGCTACATTCCATCATTCACACCTTACTTCTATCAACAAGTGACCCACAAAATGTCATCAATATTTCATCTGAAGCATCACATATAAGCCTCCTTAACTTACCCTGGGAGTTCTTGGATCTGGAGGCCTAGCATACAGCTCATCCTCAGCTGGTGTGGACCCAGCAGGAACTGACTCAGATTGTCTTGTGCTGTTATACACATGAAACCTATAACAGAGAACGCAGCAGGGGTATTAATATGTATCTATATTTTATATTTAGATAATCATACCTGGACGTCTTAAAGTATTTTAGTTCATCTCATTTTAGCTCATCTTATATATCCATTTACTATATTTTATTTTTTTTGACTTTGTATTATCAGTTTGGCAATATCCAACACATGAAAACACACTACATAAAACATTGCCACTTACTTAGAAGTAGGGTTCAGAGCCATGGCTAGTAGCTCTAAGAGAGGGAACCAGTCCTGTGCCAGTTTGCTAACACACAGCTCAACCAGACGCTCTGAGTTCTTCATGATGCATTTCTGGAACAAAAATATTTAAATAATGCAAACATAGTCAATCCAAACAGGAAAACCAACATCCTTATTTGATTCCAAGATGCATTTTTTCTTGGAAGTCAAAATTGGCAGTTGTTCTTATGCAGGATATTGTCACTGATTTCTATCTGTCTGACATTTAACTGGTAAAAAACAACAGGATGCTTTCATAATATAGTCACTGATCCATTACTTACTTCTTTTTAACCTTGTTTGTTTAGTGAAAAAGGGAAAATCAATATATTTTCAAAATCAATATATCAATCAAGAAAGAAACAAAGAAAAATTCCCTGGAATGCTGAGAGACAGCTGCACAGACTAACAAACATCCTATTACTGAAGCCTAACTCACATGTATTTCATATTTCCATCCACTGACAGCGTCATCAGTGAGGATCTTGGTGAAAGAGATGGTCAGGCCTTCCCTGAAGAACCTCTGGCAGGCCTCGCTTCTCGTGTCCAGCTCCTTCTTGCACAGGTCCAAGGCAGCCTCCAAGAGGACCTCCAGCTCCCCCTTGGGCAGGACGGGTACCACCCAGCGCGGACGATTGATCATCTCATCCAGGCGGGCCAGCTCAGCTATTGGGAAGTCGGGCTCCTCTCCCTCTGCCAGCTCAACTGGGGCATCCCCATTCCCTGTTTCATCATGCTGGTGGAAATATAAACAGGACAATTAGCAAAGACCAAAATTATTATAAATATATAATGGTATAATTTGAACATAACCATTCTTGAGCCTCACATGCATTTGAAGCCATGTGCCATCATAGATAGTTTGATGCAAAACTAATATTTGCTATCCATATATTGCTTAGCAAGAATTGCGTCTTTAACTTTGGTTATGCTGTCAGACTCAGGCAACAGCAACATGAAAAGAGAACCTTCTACATGTTAGCATAAAATACTCCCAACACTTTAACCCAAAGCTATTTTAAAAAGATCTCCACACTAAGAGAAAACTAGGAAGGTTTTATTGCCTAAGGCAACCATTAAAATTGGTTATTTTGAATGAAACAGGATGTGATACAAAAAAATAAGACTTGATGCAATTCAAGCAGTGACAATCTATTAATATTGAATAACTACAACATACCCCAGCAAAAGCTGTGTACATTCATTCAGTTTTTCTTATCACTTATGGAAAAGCCAAGCTAAGATTATCACTCAGTAACAGCTTATTGCATATCAGAGATACGTCAGATTTCAAAATTACATGAATCCTAGCTCTACATCCATTATCTTCAATGCAAATTATACCCTGCTATTGTTCTGCATCCACTTTTCAATCAATACTTGTATTTCAAACAGCAATGCCAGCAATTTCTGCCAAGATCTAAGAAAGAACATTCCACTTACAAAGATGTTCTTTCATTTAGAGGAAATCTGCCATCCTTGTTTAAAAAAAAGGTTAATTTTAAGGACTTTTTATTTGTTATTATTAATAAATTGAATGTTAATATATAAAACATAGGCAGGTGACAAAAAATATACAGATGTAGATGTGTCCATTTTCTAACATACAGTAGACTTTGCTGAACCTTTTTTGAACACTAAGATCTGACATTTTGTCCGAGTTACTTAGATACTAGAGTAAGGCAAGGCACAACCTTTCAGCTAATAGAAAAAAAAATTCCATTCCATTAGATCGGCCTAAGATAAATGATAATTTGAGTTCGAAGGAAACGAGTCAATACTGAATCCACCTGACAACAGAGTTATATCCCTGAGTATACTTCCTTATTCTGACCTTCACCACAATGTCTAGACATTCATTATATAAGGGTGCCCCTCCCCTCACCTTTAAATCAGAGGGCAAAGACCGCATTCAGATTCATACATCATACAAGCTGGGTCGGTCCAACTCTGCAGCGGATTCCTGCTTAAGTGAAATTGTGGAATTAGCTTAACTGTCTGACATACCTACCTGAGCAGGTAGGGATGTAATTAACTATAGTGAGCTGATTAAGCTGATTCTACTGATTGCACTTTATGGGCAATTATCCCATAGAGTTGGACAGACCCAGTTAGTAAAATGTGTGCACCTCAATGCGGTCATAGTCTCTGCACTCTTCCTAAGAACTATTCTTAATGTCAACCTTCAACTGTTCACAAAGACATGCACATAAACAAGCATAATAACATCTAATATATGATGACAATTCTACATTAGACAGCTGTTGTAATACTCAAGTAGGATTATGAAGGACTGACAGCAGATTATAATAATTTGTTTGTGTTCAGATCATTACAAGAGCACATCATTTTATAGTTCCATGCACAGCAATTAAACCCATGAAAAGAAGTTTCTCTGATATTGAAAGCTGGAAAGATAAAAGATTCATATGGAAGCATGAAAACTGCCAGTGGAAAAAGAGAGGGTTAAGGCAGCTTCACTGCACATCATATAATATCCCCACTACTTCTAGCTCTACTTGCTAGTGGTACAATAACTATGATGCCAACAAAGTGGACAGTTTGACTAGATTATAGTTCCCTTTGGGGGACAAAATATCCATTACTATAATGAGGTCTAATAATTCAACAAAATCAAACTGCCATAAGTCTCAAGATAACCACTTGTGCAGCACACATCAATGGCTTCTGTACAGATAAAAGCAGCAGAATACTCAACCCCTGTTGGATAGATTATGGTAACTACTGCAAATTTTCAAATGCTTCACTTTTTTTTTTATTTTCTATTTTTTTCTCAATTTATCATTATCAGACAGTGACAATGACAGAAATCTACTATTTGAGATGAAACCAACTCTATCTTCAAAACTCATGAATCTTTTACTATTAACAAAACATTTTGGGGAAATTATTCATTCACGCTGTTTGAATTTATTGAATAATTACCATACCGCAGTATATTAACAGTAACCAAATGTGTCCCTGATTGATCACTAACCATAAAACTGGGGAACCATGCAATAAATGAAACCACTTTTATTCTCATGGACTGTGATGCTTTACTGTCTATTTTACAAGACAATTTGAAACTTGAGTTGTGTTCAGAATTGTCTAAGCGCATTCAGCTAAGTAATCTGAAAACAGAGGCCCCACTTGACTCCTGTTAGATTTTCAATAAACCAGACTGTTATAAAAACAGGACACCAGGCAGCAGACACAACCCTGGAAATGGCATAATACTGTAGTAAACAGCAATGACAAAAATAAGTAGCTTGTAGGAGCACAGGCTTTCTTGTCTATGGGTAATTTTTGCCCAGGGTTTACCACTTACTTGTAATGAGTGTTTTTCAGTGCATTATTTCAAAACACAGATATGCCAGGGAGTAGCCTTGGATAACATCATTGGACAAACTGGACTGGTTAAAGCGTTCTAACAACATATAAATTTCCTTAAACCCTAAACCCAGGTGGAGGATAGCTGTCCATTATCACCACATTATTCAACCAAGGTGAACAGATATATGTACTTCCAACCTGCAAACATCTCTTTTTCCAAATGACCAAGGATTAAGGGAATATTATAATGACCAACACACATGCAAAAGGCCATTCAGAACAGATGATCCACTGACTAACTGATCCGCCGACTAAATACGGCCGATCAAACTTCAAAGAAGCACTGCTTAATCCTCTGACAGTCTCCCCGCCACCACACGCGCCATAAACAGGATTAAATCTCAGCTCCGAGGTTTAACTGCAGCACGTGTGGAGACAGGGATGCCATCATCGAATTAGTCGGCACTGCTTTTAAGTTAGTCGGCCATATTTATAATTTAGTCCACAGATCTGTTAGTCCGCAGATCAACCTGTTTTGAATGGCCTCCAATGCATGCACAGCAAAGACTGGGGCGCCAAAGTACAATATTGCTGGCACTGCAGCCAACAGATAATCACTAGTCCCAACAGATTAATGCATTCACAGTTTGATTCATCCCCTTTATAAAACATGCCACACAATTATCTGGAGCTTTTCCTTTCTGATGATATACAAAATGGGTGTAAAAACTTGAAGCTAAAAGCCTCAAACGACAACATGTAACATATGCTCTCTATAGATTCTGGTCGCCTGCCAGTACGGCAATTACTCTTAAATTTTGAATATATCAATTAATCCAATATTTCAAATTTATCAATTTTAGCTTTAAAACAAAAAAAGAACACTTCTTAACTTGACTTAAACTCATCATCCAAAATCTTAACTTAAAGGCAATGTTTTTAAAGATGGAACCAACAAAACAAGAATTAAGATAGGTCAATTAATCCATTTAATTCAAATTCAGTGAGCATTTACCGTAATCTAAGTGTTTAACCTCTTAATTCAATTTCAAACCCAATACCAGGAAAGCACAGAGTTCTGTACAGCATAGTTTGCAAGCAACAAAGATCTATATTTACACAAATGTTTTCACTGGATATAAAATAAGAGTAGAGATCTGAATGCAAAATGAGCAAGGCACATGTTTTCCTGAAAAGGCACTTTGCAGAGTAATGGCAATTAAGGTGATAACATCATTAATATTGCAAAGGTGCAGTTACATTTACATTGCTCGTATATCAGCCCTCTTATGTTATTTTTTCCACTTTTTTTTCAGTAAGAAAAAAAAAACTTGGCCTGTCTCACCCTTCTCTATTACTGAGCAGAGGATAAAACTAACTGAAAAAGAATACAAATTTGTTGCCTGTGGTGTGCTAGGCTCAATCAGACAGGTTAAAAAAAAAAAAGGACCAACATATCTGCAATGTGAATGCAACATTACACAAACTTCAATGTAAACACAACATTACACAAACCAGAATATCTCACCAATTACACAAAAAGTGCACATGATATAAATACAAGAGTGTAGCAGACTGAACTATAATAAGCTAGTGACTAAGCTGAGCTGACATCACTCAGTTTGTGTTTCACTGTTCATGGCTAATATGCACGAAGCTTCAGGAAACAAGAATAAAAACCAAACCAAATTTCGGTACACACTGAGAAAGTCTGAAGTGATTAAAAAAAAAAAAAAAACTGAAACATTTATGTTCTAAAAAAATTATTATCATCACCATCATCATCATTGACGGTAATGACCGATGTAGCTTTTGTACAGAAGGCACTTTTTCTACATCCAAGACTTTTTTCAAATCAGGCAACATTCTTTACTGAGTTGGTCCACTTTGACGGATTTAACTTCACGGCCTGTATATTCCATAAGAAAGCCACATAAATAGGTTCAACATGGCCAACTGATAATAGATCTTTACAGAAGGAAGCAAGCAAACTTGTGGACAACCGTTGAAAGGGAGTTAAGCCTTCTATAGTGTATTCATATGTACAGCAAGAACCTGTCAAGGTGGACCAGTCCAGTATGAAGAGGGCCTAAGGGCGTATTCCCAGAGCTTTTATATCGATCTATCCCCGCAGGGAGTCTCACTAGATTACTGTCAGATAAATGTCCATGTCCATGCCGCCTACTACAAGCTGTAAGGGGATAATTAACTTTCGTGCCCGCTCGGCTGACAGCTATTTAGCGTGAACCCCCAGGGAGTTAGGTCGATCTAAAGTAGATCGATCTAATCTCTGGGAATGGGGTCTAAGACAGCGTTCCCATAACCCTATTGTACTAGTTGGATTGATGCAACTCATCAGGGATCCTTGCTAAATTGAGTTCAGTTTAAGTGGCTTAAACATCTGGCACACCCCTTTGTAATTTAATGTACTGTGGTAGAGTCAGGGAAAACTTTGTGGTCCAGTATGTAGTTCATGTTGCTTTGCGAGGGGGCATGCCAGACAAGTAAGCTAATTACATTGATTGCACCCTTAGCAAGAATCCCCACTGACATAGATCCATCCTGCTCGTATGATAGGGTTATAGGAATGCAGTCTCATTGTCAGCCAATCACACCCACCTCTACAGGCTGTTGTGCACCAGGTTTCTCTGTCTCTTCAGTATCCTGTTGTTGTTGCTGCTGCTGTTGCTGCTGCTGCTGTTCCTGCTGCTGTTGGTTGTTACCAGACTGTCCATCAGTGCTTCCTTGTTGTGGCTGCTGCTGCTGTTGTTGCTGCTGCATGCTACCATCCTGTGCCATGTCTGCCACTGTTAATGTTGTTTGAGACACTGTGCGTGTGTGTATTCTACTGTAGCTTCTATGTATCTATCTGTGGCACCCTGAAACTGTATATTTGGCTGGGTAATTCAAGGTTTCACACAATAGCAAATCCATGTTTTACATGCAGCAATCTGGCAAAAATGCATAGAACTTCAACAATATGTGACAATAAAAACACAATATGTTGGCTAGCTGAACAATAACAAGCATGTGTGAGTGAATGAGTGAGTGAGTGAACATTTAGCTAGACTAAAATCAAAATGACACTCAGTAGTATATTAAACTCTTCTTCGCCAGTCAGTGACAATCTGAAACAATAAGCAATCTGAATTACAATTCCAAGGTCGGTCTGGCTGTTTGTTTTGTCCTTCACATTCTTAAAAGTATCCTGAAATGACTCTGTAAATACTGACAAATATATTATTCATGAATGCTGAAATATCAGCTTCTATTTTTATCCACACTCAGGATATCTATGGGTCTCATGTGAAGAGCCCTGGAAAAATGTCTCAGCTAGTGTGTTGGATTGTTCATACTGTTCTCATGTCAGTTTTTATCTGGCCTAGGTGTACAGAATGATGGAGAATAAATTAACACTTGAAGTTAGGCCACGTGAGGCAGAATTCATTTAGACAAACTTTACCAGTGATTAGCATTGTAATTTGTTGATCTATTTAAAAAGTTAACATAACACAGGACAATTAAGTCATGCACAATAATCACCTACACATACACTTCAAGAAGTAAAATTTCTATATCATCTACCTCCATTGGATTTCAGATAAGAAAATGAAAGTTACCAGCCGTTTTGGTTTTGCAGAAAGGGGTTGGGCTGAAAGCCAATTTATTCTGCATTTGATAAGCTGATATGTTACTCAGGTGTGATATGAGCCGGATATATTAAGGTTCTGTAGTTGAAAATAATTCATACTAAATATTAATGGAAACCCCCCTTATTTCAATTCCTGAATGTCAGCACTAAATGAAAAAAGACGCCGGTAGAAAAACAAGTGATGCAGAGCACTACCTTTCGTTTGTATGCTCTTTTTATGTTGCATGTATACAACCAGCACATCTGTCAAAATATGACAGAGGTTGTCATATAGCGAATGATCGTAAATTAAAATGTAGGAAACAGTCTGAGATGCATTGTGAAGAAATCCAATATGGCTACCGCCATTTTCATATTCCGGGTTCATTATTTCCATGTTTAGCTCCTAAAAGAATTAAAATGGCAAGAGACTTACTGCAGACTTTCCAGTCCTTATCAGCTTTCTTTTGGTCTCTCTTGCTTGCAATTACCATTGGTTTCTTGTTTGATAAGCAGTAGCTCAATTTTTTAGGAAGTAAACAAGTGACCTACGTAAAAGTAGTTCATACCCACGCATGAATATGTAATATTTCACCAATTTCTTTATTACAAATCATTTGTCTTTTTATAGAGTACATACATTCCATGTGATAATTAAGATTTCTTTAAGCTAGTTTATGCTAATAAACAAATCTATTCTAGAATAAATATTTTATATAATTGTGTGAACTATTTCCTCTCGCATCTTCACGCGAGATTACCCTTGTAAACATGGCGGCGACCTTGAGACTCGGATCGACAGCTCTCAGTATTCGTCTTCGAAATGCTTCTAACTGCGGGCGTTATCAGGTAAAACATTAATTGTGCATTCTTGGTATAGCATCCCCCTTTAATTAAAAAGGTTGGCATCTTTTTGCAACTTTTTGATCTGCACATAGCATTAATCGTTTCAGCCGGTGCCCTTGCGCGCTTGCGGTCACCTTGTAAAAAATAAAAACTTGGGCAAGTTTAGACTTTTAATGTAATGTAAATATTGTATCTGTCTTTGCGTCATTGTAATTTTTAACGAGGCGACAGAATATTTTACAGGTATTGCTTGCACAGACAGCATTAATTTTGTGCTTCACTCTAGGCCATTACAAGCAATGGTTACATTTAACACCAAACTTGTGTCATTTCGCCCGGTATTGTCAGCATCTCAGTATTTGGCTTTTGATTTTTTAAATTAAGTTTTGTGGTGACCTTGAATAGTGTCTCTTCTTTTCAGATGAATAAATTTTGCAATTTGCTTTTTGATTGCCCTTGTTCACTCCTGAATTGTGCTTGGGTCATAATATATTAGAATGGGCTTGAAGTTTCTTTTTGTAAAAACTTTAAAAATGCATTTGGAAAAAATCAAGCAAATTAACTCGAATTACATGGGAATTGTTTAAAGTCACCACATAATGAAATTTATGAAAAAATAACAATGAAAGTTTTAAAAAAAGTGTAATGTTTGGAGGACATATACTGTATTGTGTTCTAAGTTTCTCATAAAACTTAATATTCTTTGAGGCTTATCTCAGATCTCGTAGTCTCATCCAACACTTTCCTTTATTAGTGATGTTGACATCAGATATTTCTAAAATTAATGTTGCACTACTATTTATTCCATCAGAAAAAAATTACGTTTGTTTGCTTATTGTTTTATATTGAGTTAGCTTCATTTTACCACATTTCTTAACAGGTGCTTGGGACATTCCACAAGAGAGGGATAAGTACCACAGCCCATCTCCTTAACAAGGATATCTACTGGAATGACAAGTATGATCCTAAAGAGAGTGTAAGTATGCCAGTGTTAAATCTTTTCATTTTAGGTTATCATTTAGTTATTATCATTATGAACCCTTACATGCCTAAATCCAGTGTGTACCAAAAAACCTAATGACCTACTCACTGACCTTTTGATCTAACAAGGTCTAAAATGTACTAACCCAAGAGAAACTGATCAGTACAACTAAATAATTAACAAGTAATTATTTTTTTATTTTTATTTTACATATTTATTATCACAAAAGAAGGTTTGAGTTGAATTTTGTATATTAGAAATAGTTTTTGTGTCAATGAAAATTTTTGGAGGATGGGGATGGAATCGATTATATCCTATAGACAGAATTTTTAATGTCTAATATTTATCGATTTTTCTCTTCATCAGAAATTTGACAAAATCCTCATTGCCAACAGAGGAGAGATTGCTGTACGTGTCATTAACACCTGTCGTCGCCTGGGAATCAAAACTGTCGCAGTTCACAGCGATGTTGACTCTTACAATGTGAGTTTATGAAGCTGAATAAATAGTTGTTGACTCAGAGATGATGAATATACAGAATTTTACAACTTTTTCTTGATTTTGTTGTCTGTCTGTGGAAAGTCACTGGAAACCAGTCAGAAATGTAGGAAGGAAGGTATAGATTTTGTAATCATCTGGTGTCAGACATTGGAATAAAATCTTCGTTAGTTTGCAAAGAATTGTTACATTTTTTTTTTCAAAACAAGATAAAAAAGAAAATGTGAAGATGTTTATTGTTAAGTGAATAGAGTACAATACTATAATACAAAATAGTACAATAATAAAAAAAAGATATATATATATATATATATATATATATAATAAAATAACATCAAGTAGATTGTTTGAAATGTAGCAAAAAATTCAATTTTTACACTTTTAAGATTATGCTGTAGAATCATTGATGACTTATGTCCACAAACTTACTTCTGAATTCTTAAAATTCATCCTTGAGTTTGTATTTTACTTGACTGTATGATAGGTATTATATACAAATAGTAACCAATCTTTTTTTCTTTTACACCTGACAGAATTTTGTCTTAATGGCTGACGAAGCCATCTGTATTGGCCCAGCTCCAACATCTAAGAGCTATCTCAATATGGACGCCATCCTGGATGCTGTCAAACAAACTGGGGCACAGGCGGTAGGTATTTTATTCATACGCCTATTAACTAAGTTTATGTTTTTAAAGTTAGAGCTTTTAAGGTCATTTTTGTCACTTTCCTAAACTGTTTAGAAATTTTCTAGAGATCTCACAACATTCTTTTTATTGTCACATTTCAAGTTGTAGCATACCATTTACTTACATGCACACATAGATAACTTACACACACATGTGATATCTTTTAATTCTATGACTCTTCATTATTTTCAAAGATGTGTAAATCCTGCAAAGGATGATTAATAAAGCTCTGAAAGACAATTTTGGTTCTTGTCTTAAAATAAATTTTTTGGTGAGTAATTTATTTAAATGATCAATTCTGAAGCAATGAGATGTCACAATAAGTGAAATGTTACAGATTTGTGTATAATCACCCTGAATTTTTTTTTTTCTTATAATTTTTCAGGTTCACCCTGGGTATGGCTTCTTGTCCGAGAACACAAACTTTGCTGCAAAACTGGTGAGTGTATACAACCATCTGTATGCGTATCTGAATGCCTTCTTCTTATGACCAGCTCATTATAGAAATGTCTTTGTGTGTTATTATCTTTCTGACATGCCAGTCCCAGCTGGTGGTAGATATATGAGACACACCTGTGTCTCTTGGATCCTTTAGCACAAAGGATTTATAATCTTATTATTTTATTATTTTTAATTACCTTTACTTTTCAGTACAGAAATTGTTTCTTTAACATTATATTGTTATGTAATATATCACTTTGATATACTTAATCATCCAGCTGGTGGTACATACCCAAAAAGTGGCTGCACCTCTCTCTTTCACTAGATTTGTATTCTAATATTTCCATTTTTCTATATTCTTCAAACCAACAGCATGAGAACGGTGTTACATTCATTGGTCCCAACAGTGAAGCCATCCACGCCATGGGGGATAAGATAGAAAGCAAGAGGATCGCCACCAAGGCCAAAGTGAACATGATTCCTGGACATGACGGTGTGGTGGAAAGTGTGGATGAATGCGTGAAACTAGCCAATGAGATAGGTAAATGAGTGCATGCCTCTCTGATCCTCAAGTTTCATTTAATTTTAATGTATTCTATTTGGATAGCCTGTAATGATCAAGGCCTCAGCTGCGGTTGGTGGTAGATCTTTAGGAGTTGGCCAAACCTCTCTTATCTTGTTTTATTTAATTTCATACTATTCTATTAGGATATCCTGTAATGATCAAGGCCTCGGCTGGCGGTGGTGGTAAAGGAATGAGGATTGCATACAATGACAAAGAGGCACGCTATGCCTACCGTTTTTGTAAAGATGAGGCTGCGTCCAGCTTTGGTGACGACCGCTTGCTCATTGAGAAGTTTATTGAGGAGCCAAGGCATATTGAGATGCAGGTAGGGTTCTTTGAATAAGTTGTAAAGTAAAAATGATACCAGACTTGATTTAAATAGGATTTTTATTTTGCTAGTTTTAATTCTTAAACAATTGCTTTTGTGTCTTACGTGCATGAATAAAATGATTAAATGAAAGATACAAAAGATAGTCTTTTGCTATTTTTCAACATGTTTGAATAGACATGCAGTGGTTTGAACGAGAATTTACACAATTTTAAAGATATAATATCAGAGTACAATATATCATGATGTAAATTCAAGATAAAACCCAATATATGCTTAAACTTCGTTGTCATGCAGATCTTATAGAAATACTATTATCTATAAATACACACAAATACATTATGAAAGCCAATGGCTGTTGATTTTTATGCTGTATTCTAAATACCATTATTACCTTAGGTGTTGTGTGATAAACATGGCAATGCTCTGTGGCTGAATGAGAGAGAATGCTCTATACAGAGGAGGAACCAGAAAGTCATTGAAGAAGCACCAAGGTAAACAAATTACCACACAAAAGTAATTACTCTAAAATATTGCAAAAAGCTGTCTTGTTACAATGATAGTTTGTCTTCTTTTAATCAATTTTAGTCGCTGGCTAAATATAAGTTTTGTGTCATTATTCCATCTTAACAACTTTAAAATGGTGCAGCTAATGTTTATTTAAAGCCTATTGTGGTATACTTAATGAGGCTTTTCTGAATGCTAAGTAATTCTCAAAATGCTGAGATAGAAAACTTAATTAGGATCAATCTGTTTTGGGGAAACAGATATGTAATGAGATAATATTGGATAATGCTCTTTTATCAAAAGGCAATTATGTCTCAGCATGGTTTCTTTTAAGATTCTCAAATTATAGATGAAATTTTTGATATAATTTCTTACCAATTATTCAAATCGGACAGGGGATCTTTGAATACCTGGTTCTGGAACATCTCTATGCTTGTTAGCCACCCTTTGAAAGCACCACACTATTCCCATTCCCAGTGCGTACATTATTAGCAGTGCAAAAAAACCAATAAACATCACCGGTATGATAAGCACTAGAATCAGCTGCAGCCACTCGAAAAACTCATTAGCCACAACGTAGGGTCCTGTTGTTTCATGGGTGACAGTGAAATACACAGTGTTCACCAGACGTAGAATTGAAAACACAGTGAGCAAAAACAGACTAAAACTGGCCACGTAGTTCTGTGCTTGGACGCCGTAGGGCTGGCAATGCACGTGGTGAATGAGTATGATCAAGCATGCGAGCGTCATCAGAAGAGCTTTTACGAAAGAGTCCACAATCACAATGTCCAGTATTATCAGTGTAAGCTGGCGCAGTATGATCACGCCCTGCCAGTAGGGATGTTCCGATTTGTGGTCACTTCCCTGCTTCCCAGCTGAAACCTTTTTGAATGGTTTCTCAGCCACGTCCAGGAGGCCTTGGGTAAGCATCTCAGATTCAGGCGAGTTATCCAAGTGGGCATAGATAAACTGCCGTCTTTGAGGGTTCCATCTCCTGTTTTCAAAGTACCTTTTTCCCCAAATGATGAGGAACGGAGGCGGGCAAGCACAGGCAGCAATGAAAAAATGAGCAGGGCACTGTCTAGTTCTTAACATGTACACACCAAGTACAAAGACGAACCCGAATGGTATAACAAGAAGGATGAGATAGATTAGTATTACCAGCTGCCACCAGGTGTAGCAGTGAACAGTGGTGTCCTGAATCAGAAGAAAGTCACCATCGTAGCTAACACAGCTGGTCAGGATGAGGAGCGTCTTGGGGAGATTTGCGTAGGAGAGTATGAGAATCTGTAGCAGAGTCTTTGTTATCCTGACCTTGAACTTTGGTGACCTGGTTTTGCCTTTGGTGATGCAATTGGCGCAGGAGTACCCGAGCCAGATTACGCCCAGAACGACCAGGATGAAAAAGGTGAACGCCAGCTGGAAGAGCATCTTTGTGATAGGTGTCAGGCCTGGGAAGGGACACAGGCTGAAGGATATCGGAGAGAAGTCCATATTGAAGAAAGACATGATGATGATGTACAGGCGATGGACAAACATGTTCTTGGAAGGCTGACTGAAGGAAAGCAGACTGGATACCTGCAATGTAGAGAACAAGAACAATTATTTTAAGTGTATATATTCATATAACTCTGTGTTAAGCTGCTGTTTCAAAGAAACTATCATTGTAACTTTTCATCCCTGAGTAAATTGATGAAAAAAGTGAGATAACTGCTGAGTAAGCACCACTTGTGTAAGCTTTTCACATTTGCTTTGCATTTGAAGAGATATATTTCTTGTCCTGTGTCAGAAATAGGGGTTGCCTGTAAATTGCATTAGTTGTGACAATTGATGTTTAATTGAGCTAGGTATGCCTACTGATTTTGTCAGATACAATATTACTTTTTTTATACACTTCGCCTGCACCAAGTTAAACAGTGCTTCACACACACCTGGTAATAGTAAAAGATGATCTTGATATAGCCAGCAGCTGACCCAGATTCTTTGGCAACTGGCATTTGTATGACACCACTGACGAAGGTACTATCAACACTTTCCTGACTGGTGCTATATTTCCTGGCTCTGCTCTTTAGAAACTTCAATTTCTGCACAGTTTTAGAAGTGTACTGGACTAAATCTGGCTGGTACAGGAAGAAAACGACGTAGGCAACACTGTACAGAATGGCAAATGGCCAGAACATGACGTCATCGCAGTCATCATCAGGCATGCATTCTATGGAGAACAGGCTACTAGAGTAATTAACGGGACACCCACTACACATGGTTCCTGAGTGGGAATGGTCGCAGGTGCTGATATCAAGACAGGTTTCATTAGGACAGCAGTAGCCCTGATTACATTCTATGATATTCACTTTCAAAGGATCGTGTTTTGATATTGACCCCCAATGGTTTTTCTGCACACTTAACCTCCCCGTTGAACAGTCCCCTCCAAAGGGACATGTGTTGCATTCAAAGTTTTCTTTGACCATGTTTGCTGTGTACGAACCCCTGTCTATGCTGAAAGTTTGAGTTGGACACACGGTACAAAAAAAGTGCATGATATAATTGAAAATGTCTTCATCCCTTCGGACTGCTGAGAGGTCTTGGGTGAGGGTAGTATTTGTACTAGACACGTTCATGCGAGATCCTACAGGACACAGAATAGTGGAGGTGCTGTCTATGAAAATGGCTTCATTGTCATCGGTCATTGTCTCCAGATAGACCAGACTGAGCTCCGGGCTGTGACTGTGGCTCACAATGGAGCTGTTGTGGATTTCAATTAAAGTCATTTTGGGAGGGGGAGGGGCTGTGGTACTTGGCAAGTGGGTTGTGTCAGTTGTGGCTGTGGTCAGTGATTGTGTTGTTATTGTGGTTGGTGAGTCAGTTGTGATTGCGCTTGGTGAGACAGTTGTGGCAGGGGAGTCACTTGTCATTTTGGTAGGTGAAACAGTTGTGGTATGCCAGTCTGTGGTTATTGTGATAGGTGAAACAGTTGTGGTTTGGGAGTTGCTTGTCATTGAGTAGGTTGAGACAGTTGTTGTTTGTGATTCAGTTGTGTTTGTGGTAGGTGATTCAGTGGTGATTGTGGTAGGTGAGACACTTGTGATTGTGGTAGGTGAGACAATTGTAATTGTGGTAGGTGAGACAGCTGTAGTATGGGGGCTGCTTGTCGTGCTAGGTGAGTCAGATGTGCTTGTGGTAGATGAGATTTTGGTGATTGTGGTAGGTGAGACAGTGCTGGTTGTGGTAGGTGAGTCAGTGTTGATAATGGTAGGTGAGATTTTGGTGATTGTGATAGATGTATCAGTTGTGGCAATAGTAGGTGTGATTGTGTTTGTTTCATTTCCAGTATTGGTTGAGTTTGGTGAGACATTAGTTATGTTAGTTGTAAAACAGCCCACTGCTGTCAAAGAATCCTTAGCTAATGTATCTAATTCCATCATCTGAATGCCATTGTAGTCAGTCCATGACATATGTTCACCAGTGTAGGATTTTTCTCGAGGATCTCTATTACGCTTCACAGTATCTGTATCAAGAATCTTCACATAGACAGCATCACCAAGGATTGTCTTTTGTTTTGGAATAGTGTTCCCATCTTGTATTTCAACATTCTCCAACACAACTCCTTGTCCCTTGATGGAATTGTGATAAATGGATCCCCCAAACATTCTGGCGTAATTGGCATGAAAGGTGGTTGATTTGGCGTAGAGTGTGGCCTCGTTGATACACAAGGCACCCCCAGATGCTGCATAGTTGTCAGTGAAGTAGCTGTTTTCAATGGAGACTGAAGAATCTTGATTCTCAACACGGCACTGGTTGATGCCGCTGAAAGTGTGATGTGTGACTGAATACAAAGATATTCCCTTTAGAGAATTTCGAAATATCGATCCACCAAACATTTTGGCGTGATTGCGTTGGAAGGTGGTTGAGCTGACATTTAGTTTGGCATCACTGATACACATGGCACCTCCAAACACTGCTTGATTGCCTATAAAAGAGCTGTTTTGAATGGTGACTGTCACATGATTCTCCACATTGCGTTGGTTGAGATTGCTGATTGTGTCAGGTGTGTTTGAATATAATGCATGAACGAAGATGGCACCACCACAAGATGAGCCACTGTTATTTGTAAAAACTGAAGTAGACACCAACATTGACAAGTTTTGAGCCTTAACAGTGATAGCAGGGCTGGGTTTGCTCTCGGTAAAAAAAGATTTGTGGATTTTCAAGAATGTTGTCATTGCTGTCTTTACTTGAAGTCTTGATTCCTGAAATTGCAAAATATTATAATTATAAAGCTTCTTTTATGTTGTAAATGTTATGTATCGCTTTAAAAAATTGTAAATCAGATATTTTTTAATTTTATTTCGATGTATAGAGCAATCCTATTGGGAGTAACAAACCTCTAAATATGCTGAATTTGTTACATATTAGGAAGTTACCTTGAAATGGCCATTTTCCACACTGTATGACTGCTGCTCCGCATTAGCTAGAAGCTCTATGCTGCTTTTATTCCATCTGTTACTGCAAAGATGAACAGTCACATTAGAGTAGTACTGTTTCGGGAAATCACTGAAAACAAATTTCAGTCCAAAAAAATAAGAGTCAGTGATGTTAACAGCAATATTCTGTTTGGTTTTGGGTGGTTTAAATTTGCTTTCTTCATCTCCTGTTTGGTTTCCATTGTGTTGACTTCCTGCTATCACCTCTGACACATTTTGGTCATCATGACTGGCCGCTGCTGCTGCCATATAACTTGTGCCATGGAAGCTTATAGTTTTTAGAGTATCAAGATTATAAGGACTTTCAATGTAGCAATTCTTGATGACAAAATCTTTTTCTGAAGAATTGCCGTTGTCTTTAGGAAAATGAAATGAGTTTAAAGTGTTGCTGTAAGACAGTGCGACATCTATGAATTTCTCTGACCCAGATTTTATGAGGATTTTACATCGATCAAGCTTGACTCTCACTCCAGTAGTTTTGATGAGGTTTGAACTTCCTTCTGTATAATGATTTATCTGTAGGTTCCTCAGAACAAGGGCATTGCTGTTGTTTTCATTGCCATTCACAACCAAGAACTGCCCAGTTCCAAAGCAGAAAAGCACTGGCTTCTCTTGACCGTAGCCCTCTATAGTCACAGGATGAGATAAGTTGATTGGTCCCTGGTAACAGACTAGGTATACAGAGGGGTTTGTGGTCTTGGCCCCACTGACCATTACAGTGTCCCCACTGGACGTTAGGCTGAGGACATGGCTGATAGTTTTGCATGGCTTCTCTATTTCGACACAGTTATTAGTGTCATTTCCGTTGAGTGCTACATACAGGGTCCTCACTGAAAGAAAGATTGTATAATAATAATAATTCACTATATGATGTTAATGTATAACATTATAAAAATGTCATTGAATAATTGTAATATAATTTGAATTTTAAAGATTTGACAGTATGTTTCATAAGAACAAGGGATTCCAGAGGACAAAAAGTTCAAATTGTGCCTCTTGCTTTTGGGATGGTGGTGGGGGGAAAGGGGGGGGGGTCTCAAAGACCAACATAAATAGTATCCTGTGATATTTCATATGAGGCAATTTCCTAGTCTACCACAATTTAGTCAAAACCTTGCTAACTTACCCAGCCTGATGTATGTTTGTTTGTGTGTTTGTTTATTTTTTTTGTTTATTTGTTTGTCTTAAACTCACCTTCATAGCTGTTTCTGGCACAAGCTATAAAAAGGGCAAACGTCAGAAACTCTTGCAGCAGTGTGTTGGAGAACAACATTGCTTTAACATGACCATCTCCCAAGTGAAAATGTAGGATAATGTTATAATGGGATGTGCTAATTAATATCAACCTTGTGTTGTATATGTTAAGGTATTTTATCTATAACTGATCCATGACCATTGTTATCTGTGATAGATAAATGAAGCAGACTGATATCAGATATCATAGACTATAATAAACACCACGATAAAGAAATGCAAAACCTCTATATTGGATAGTTGAAATAAAGAGAAAAAATATTTTGGATTCATCATTATATTTATGTTTTTGTATTATTGTGTTATTGTGTGTGTAATTGTTGGTCATAATTAGAGTCACATTCTGTATAATTGCCCACTTAGGGCTGTTCAAATTTCTGACTCAAACATAATATGCATTATGCATTCAAATTGATCCTTAGACAGCATCCCTCCTTTTTTTTTTTTTTTTTTTTTTTTTTTTTTTGGGGGGGGGGGGAGTTGCTTATGCATGATCAAGAAAAGGTGATGGGAGGAATGGGGATCTTGGCCTGAAACTTCTGTGAAGCTCCATGCTATCATTAATTAATAAGTGATGAAATAATAACATTTGTTTATGGCATTTTCTCTTTTCATCCTCAGCACATTTGTGGACCCAGACATGAGAAGAGCTATGGGGGAGCAGGCCACCTCTCTGGCCAGGGCAGTGGGGTACGATAGCGCAGGTAAGTAGAACTCATGTCACACGATGGAGGAGCTCCATTTCAAAAAGGGCTTATTATCATAAATAAAGTTGAGGCAGATTTAGGGTGTTTGTGCAGTTTTATTAATTTATGTTTTTGCTATGTTGGTTTGTAAGTCAACTGCCTAACTTGAAAAGTTATGGACAGATTGTAATTAAATGTTCGGGATAGGTCATAACTGGGCTAATTTAGAATTTATTAGATTTTGGGAGTGATCCATTAATTAATTTTTAATAAACAGTAATGAGAATTGAGCTGCCTTGGCAAAGGTTTGCATTTGCTGAGTGATTTTCAATTTACAAATGTTCTTTTTTTTTTTTAAATGTCATTATGTAAAAATCAATTCTACAAAGTGTTTATTATTGAATGATGTATGATTTATTATCTAGGAACTGTGGAGTTTCTGGTGGACAACAAGAAGAATTTTTATTTCCTGGAAATGAACACAAGACTCCAGGTGGAGCACCCAATTACAGAGTGTATCACTGGCATTGATCTTGTTCATCAAATGTTGAGGTCGGCCAAAGGTAAAGACAATGTGCTTTTGTACTAGTAGTTGTAATGTATTACTGACAGTGATATTGTACACCAAATGTTCAGTTCTGCTAAAGATAAAGACAGTGTGCTGTTGTAGTTGTAATGTATTACTGACAGTGATATTGTACACCAAATGTTCAGTTCTGCTAAAGATAAAGACAGTGTGCGGTTGTATTTGTAATGTATTACTGACAGTGATATTATACACCAATTGGCTGCATTTGTAGTGTAATATAACCCCTTTGTTTGAAATTATCAAAGTATATTTGCTGCAGAAATACATTCAGATAAAATTTAATAATTTAAAGTTGACAGAGAAAAAACACACCAATGTATAATTATTAGTTTAAAATACAACTTTAAATTATAAAATTCGTTTTTTTCTTCAGCTTAGATAACTTACTGATTAGTCTGAGAAAAAAATCTTACTTAAACAATTTGGTAAAAAAATTATAGTTTTGAAATTACTTTTCTTCCTCCAGGTCATCCACTAGTCCACAAACAACATGACATTGGAATAGATGGGTGGTCCTTAGAATGCCGAGTTTATGCTGAGGTGAAGTATTCATGTTTGCTTTATTTATTTACTTATTTCAATTTTTAAAAATTTTATCATTTAAACGCATTAGTTTTTGATAAGGATTGAATCAGTTATTAAACTTTTAAAAATTTTAGAAATTTTGTTCCTATTTTGGGAAAAACCGTCAATATGCATCGTTAAATTTTCTGGAGTTCCTTACATTATATTCTTAAACCATTAGATTTTATATAACTTTAGAAAAAAGAAAATCATTATTCAAAGTAATACCAGAGCTTAGTAGAACAGAAAATATCTCAGTTCTCTGTTTTTGCTTATTGTATAATATTAAGACACGTTAAATAATTTTTTTATTATTTACAGGATCCTTACAAGAGTTTTGGACTGCCGTCAGTGGGGCGCCTCTTTACATACATAGAACCTTCACATATTCCAAATGTTAGTATCAGTCTGATGGGCTTTCTTTAAAACGTTATTTTTGTGTCCATCATAAAGTTTGTAATACGCATTTAGTGACTCATTCACTGTCAAAGTGATATTCGGCACTTACTTATTGCTGTCTCTACATTTCATACATTTTCATTTGGTATTTTGTATATCAGGTGCGTTGTGACAGTGGCATCCGTGAGGGAAGTGAAATCAGTGTGTATTATGATGCCTTAATCTGTAAGGTAAGTGCTGCACCCTATTGGTGAGTTTGTTAAACTAGAGAGGCTAGCACTATCAGTACTATATGTACATGACTTAGGGCAGTGCTGGTGTATACGTTTCGGCCTCTTTAGGTGTGTTTGTATTTGTTTTTGCATTAGAGAGAGTGAGAGAGAAAAAGGATAGAGAAAAGTGCCCTGATAAAATATCTTGTCTTTCTTTAAAGGTCATCTCATGTTACTATTTTCAGCTTGTGTCCTATGGTGCCACCAGACAAGAAGCTCTGGACACTATGGCTAAAGCTCTTGACCATTATGCTATTAGAGGTAACATGTTAATGCAGTCATTAAAGCAGTGCTGTATGATTAAAATTACATAAATTTGTTTAAAATTACTCTGAGATTGAGTTTTTTTTTTTTTTTCACTATTAAGTGATTGCTGTAGATGTGACGCAACATCAATCCTATTGTGTTAGTTGATATAGAGATTGTGTTAGTTGTTATAGAGATTTGTATTATTGTGATATTTACAGGAGTGACACACAACATCCCCCTACTGAGGGACATAATGACAGAGGACAGGTTTGTGAGAGGAGACATCACCACCAGTTATCTACAGGAAGTTTATCCTGATGGATTTAAAGGTGAGTGGATAGATTTTTTTAGTAATATGTAAAAAAACACAGCGGATATTTTCGTAGCCAAACCAGTGAGATTGAAATAGATTTTATGGGACACATCAGTAGGATAAATCAGTGAAAAGGAACTTAAGTCACTTAATAACCTGTTTAAAACCCATGGTGGTTTAAGTAGTAAGTATGGACCTGAAGTTACTTTATCCCTCAGACTGTAAGTTTATAAACCCGAGAAGATTTACAAATTGGTGCGAACACAACTGTACAGTATTTCTACAAAACTAAACCTTACTATTTAATAAAAATTTGTAGTATTTCATATCTTTTCAGGTAAAAAACTGGCCAGTAAGCAGCAGAACCACCTCATAGCAGTGGCCTGTTTAACTTGTTTCTTTAATAAAAATAATTCTTTTCATACCTAACCAGGTAAAAAGCTGACCAGTAAGCAGCAGAACCACCTGATAGCGGTGGCCTGTGCAGTCCATGTCAAAGAAGCTCTACGACAAAGATCCTTCACAAACCAGACTAGGTAAGGAGAAAGTGGGGCTGAGACCAAATGTTTAATGTTACTGTATAAATTATAATTGTGTGTTTATATCCATATCCCTTATGATAATTATCTAAGGCAGTTTTGAAAGAGAAATTGAAGTTGAAATTCATCAAACTGTTAGTAAAAGATGAGAATGAAAAAATAAGGATTAAAAAAAAATTGAGATATAGACTTTTGAAAATCCACACTGCCTGACTTGTTCTTACATCATCCTTGTTTCCATCTCAGTTCTTAAAGACCCTTTAAGGCAGCTTTGAATAACATTATTTATAATGGTATATGAATAATTTGATGAATGATAAGATATTAAATGAATAAAGAGGTGAGTAAAGTAGTGACTTTTTGTAATCTACCTTACTTAATTTTGTTGATATGAAGATGATGTCAATTTAAATATTATTAAATTGATATCTCAAGTGTATTCTACTTTAGAGTCTACCTTTTTTATGGATATATGTTTTAGGTGCAGTTTAGATTTATTATTTCACAAACCATAAGACCCACTTTCATAACATTAAAGAAACACCTATTTCAACATACCTCAGTTACTACTTTTTTTTTATTTATAACTTTACAATAATTTCAATAGTCTCTGTTAAAACCAACTTTTCTTTCAGAATTCCTGATCATTTCCAGGTATAACTTACAAAGAAATGTGATCATATGCTATGTTCCAGATTTCCAGTATCAAATAATGTCCCATCACAATGGAAACTAGCGATAAGGATAGCGGACGATATCCATCATGCTTGTGTCACGTGTAGTCAGGGTGCTTTCTGTGTAAGTCTCATAGTCTCTAAGGTGTCATGACCGCCAAAAAGAGGTGTTGTGTTTGTTCTTATGATTGTTCTGTTGTATTTGTGTTTGTTGTTCTTCTGTTTATTTTCGTGTATGTGTTTGTTTAAAGGTCTTGTATGTGTTTGTGTTTGTGAGCTTTTTTGCTTTTTTCAGCTGTTTTATTGTTTCCAGATCCTGAATATTGTAACAAATCAGTTATATCAGATTATATGCGTAAAATGAAGGGGCTGAAAGTGCAAGAGGAACTTGTCCCTGGTGTGGCATTTCGCACACCATCATTTGCCCTCAGCAACATAAAACAAGAATATCCAGAAGACACAGATTGGAAATGTCACGCAGACAAGTGTCAACACCCCACAGATAAACCTTACCCACAATTATCACCAACGTGAGAAAGAATCAGAAAGGAAGTTTAAAAACTTGAAAATCTAGACAGATGCATGTGAAGCCAGCGATGGGAATTAAAGGCAGACTCAGCATAAAATTGACCACTCTTGCCACGGGCATAATCAAACTTGGTGAACATAAAAGAGCGAAGACTGACAATGTTGGACAACTACATGCAAATAAAGAGGATTTTTTTAGGAGTTTGGATTTGTATCATCACGAGAAAGGTCACAGTCAGCCATATAAGCTCTTTTAAGACTCTGATTGACCTGACAGTCCTAAAAGCACTAACCAGAGCCATATTCAGTCTACAGTTTTGAGGAGGTGATTGTATTTAACTGAAGTTGAAAATTGAATTTATCTTCTTGTCTGATAACTGAGCAGTAAAGACTGAAGAAAATGGCACATTCCAAGCAGTGAACAACAGATTATTGATCACTGCCAGCAAGGGCTGGTGTACCAAGAAAATGAAGTAACTACTCTAACAGGAGACAGAGGTGGATGGAAGAAAACTTTCTACAGTATAGGCATGGCATGTGGTGGAAAAACTTATTTTCTGGATTCTGGATTAGCAAACTGCCCTTTGTTTTAGGAATTTTGCTCAAATTTTTGGATTATTTTTAGGGGATGCCATATAATGCTGAAGCCACTGTGCCTTAGCAAAATGACAGAAGGAATGTCAAGTGTATTTTTTTTCAACAATTTTTCCTGCTTAGCATTGTAGACATATACTTGTCATAAATTTTTCATCATTTTACTCACAGGCATTTTTAGTTTTGCCAAGAAGGTAATTAGAGAGTTAGGACTTCATATAGTAAGAATACTAATATATACAATCTGGCATTATTCACAATGTAAGAATATCATAAGTAATAGGTAGTGTATCAAGCATGGTGATGGTCCTGTCTTGTTATGTCAAACAGGCTGCCACCTATGGCTGACCTTCCTCCAGCGTGGAACCTCAGCATTCGCTACAAGGATGCCACCTATACGGCACAGGTTAAATATGTGCCGAGCAAACACGAAAGCAAGTTTATTGTAAGTTGTTCCAGACACGCATTACATGCCAGAGTGCTCAAGTTTCTTATTTCTTGTAACTGCTTTTGCAAGGAAATTTGAATTTGAATGCTTTGAAATTGCCCAGAGTGGTTCAAGCCCCAGATTTGTCATCTTTTGACCAAAATGATTAAACAGGGATTTATACTCTGATCTCAGTTCATTTATTCAAGTTAACATTTGAAAAAATTGTTTTTTTTTTCCTTTGGATTATACCACTGATATTCCCTCTGAGATTTAAACCAGTGGTCCTTTTGTTGACAACTATCCGTGAATCAATCTTCTCAGGTGGATCAGTTACCTGTTGTGGACAAATTTTTAAGAAGGACCACAGCAGTGATCAAAACTCATTTAATAAACTTCCAGTGATATAATCCAGATGGGGGAAAATGTATGAATCTATCCCATTTCTTTAGTAGGGATTCATTAATCTGAATCTCAGTGGGGTATCTTTATGAAGAGACCCCATTTTGATATATAAACTGGTCATCTGATGACAACATTATTTCATGAACTGGAGCCTTTATGTTATAATAACCAAATACTTCTTATTAAGCTGCTTCTGCATTTCACATGCATGGCTTTGGTGAAGCCTAACACTTGGGAACTGCTTTTTGCTTGAAAAAAAAAACATTTATTTTTTCTACAATTTCTATTTTTTCCATGTTCGACACATGCAGATTATACAATGCAACCTTCATTTTGGTCTAGTCTTTTTCATTTATTAGATGGACTCTTTATAATTTTGTGCTGCAATTTAAGATTTTATGTTGCTACTGCTTTTATAAATACTCCTACAGTTATATGTCAGATATTTATTTTGTTGAAAAGTTTGGTTTCTTAGCTTACAGGCAATAGCTTCTTAGATGGGATATGAAATGTTTTGAATCTTAAGACATGAATGTGCTTTTGAAAGAAACCAGTAATGTTTCCAAGGTATGTTTTAAATAATATTCTTTGCTGGAGGCAATCTCAGTTCATAAAAGATATTTTGGACATTTTGTACAGATTAACAAAAACGTAAGGAAACTTATCATGAAGTTTTTCATTTTTCTCAAGATTGTTCCAAGAGGGGAAGTGTTTGAATTTGCAGCATCTTTGAATGGCTTAAAGTTTCCAACATGTAAATATTTGGATATTAGTCTTAGGCTTATTAGTCACCATCATTTGACTGCTGTGTACCAAGATACAATTCAATGTGTTTGAACTATCGATTAAAACAGTTGAAAATGTTAATAAAAAATAAGATTTAAATATGTTCATATAGTTTACTATTGACTATTCTTGTGATGAAAATTTTTTGTCGTCTGATTGATTCTTCACAACGACAAATAGTGCACTTTTGCAAGACTGATGTCCCTAGATTCAAATATATATATATATATATATTTGATTTGTGTATTCTAAACCTTTCTGCATTATATTTCTTGTTGCTTTGCATGAGTGTTATATTATTAAATGTTTTTTAAGATCAGTATTTAATCTTTTCCAAGTGTACTTGGAATAATTATTTCTTACCGGATGTTTAGCAAATTAGCATTTAAATTTGTCTCTGTTTCACTAATTACTCTTCCTAAAAATATTGCATGTATAAAATTGTTATCAAAGACTTCAGTCTGACATATAAATGACATATAAATATTAATGTTATATCTCTTCTTTGCAAATCCCAAATGCAATAATCCATTTTCAATTAATTGCTATCAATTACATAACACCTTGAAAAATGAGCTTAAGGAGATATGTAGAAACTATACTGTAAAAAGATGTAACCCAATATCACATGTACCATGTATCTGTGTAACAATATCAATATATTGAAATGTTTTTTATCCACCAGGTTACTATTGGGGAGGAGACTTTTGATGTGGCAGATAATTTCACTCTTGGTTTTAATGTCATAGAAGCTCAAATCAATGGAGACATTGAGACAATGATGGTAAGTATGACTCTAAGTGTGTTTGGTGTGACTGTGAGTGTGGTAGATGTGACTGTGAGTGTGGTAGATGTGACTGTGAGTGTGGTAGGTGTGACTGTGAGTGTGGTAGGTGTGACTGTGAGTGTGGTAGGTGTGACTGTGAGTGTGGTAGGTGTGACTGTGAGTGTGGTAGGTGTGACTGTGAGTGTGGTAGGTGTGACTGTGAGTGTGGTAGATGTGACTGTGAGTGTGGTAGATGTGACTGTGGTAGATGTGCTGTTTAGGGGTGACATTGTGTTAGATGTGGCTTTCAGGTGTGATTGTGTCAAAGGTGTATCTGTGTAATATGTAGGAGTTTGTGTTGAGTGTAGCATTGTGTCAGATGTGACAGTTTGTCATATGGAACAATATTCATATGTGACAGCATGTTGAAGATTTTAATTGTGACTCTATATTAAGTGTGACAAATGGTATGTTGGAGATAAAAATTTCGAGCGGCCTAAAGATTTGTCTATATCTCTATGCATATGTTTATTAATCCACTTGTTTAAATTATTATGTAAATTGTCCCATTATGTCATTCATTAGCTTTTATCTGTTTGGTCTCAGACATAACCATATTTCAGAAATAATTAGGATCCTAAAGACTAGTCAAAGAGCCTCGTCCCATTATTTTCCTGATCGTAGTGTAGAAAATTTATATTCAGTCTGTTTCTTTTTCAAATAGCTCCTAACAAAGATTCCCATAAAAGAGGCCAGAGGCGTTGTGAAACTAAGGTATCTCGGAACAGTGGTAAGTTCAATAGAATTTCCATTTAATATGTTACAGCTTAACTTAAATAATTTTTTTTTTTTGGTAGATGTTGGTTTTTTCACGTGGAGAGCCCTTATTTAATTACCCCTATTTTGTCCTGCTTACTAGCTTTGAAATTTATAGATATATTAATATTTTGGTAATTAAAATTGCTATATAAATAACTTTCCAACTAAAGCCATGTGAATCTGTTTCATATTATGCCATATGAATCACATTCATCTAATGCCATGTGAGTCAGTTTCATCTTGTACCATCTGAATCACTTTCATTATATGCCATGTGAATCCCTTTCATTATATGCCATGTGAATCACTTTTATGATATGCCATGTGAATCACTTTCATCCTTTGCCATGTGAATCCCTTTCATTATATGCCATGTGAATCCCTTTCAGTTCAGCCTGCATGTGATGCCCCAGGAGTACAGTGACATGTATCAGTATATGATCACCAAGCAGGAAGCAGACCTGAGCAGCATGGTGATGGCCCCTATGCCAGGACTGGTCAAGTCAGTGGCTGTGGAAGTGGGGCAGAATGTAAGTGTTATGTATATTGTTATAGGTGGTCTGGAGGGTTTTAATATTTAATATGATATAGGGCCCTTGTGGGGGAATGGCAGAGATGCCCATGGTCGGGACAAGAAAACTGGGACTATGGCTAGAACATTGGTGGTAGACTGGTAGTATTTAAAATAAGAAACATTTATAAAGCATCATATAGTAATGATCAACATGTAGACATGTTAATCATGATGGTGGAACTCTGTTGACTCACTAGCTTATTCTTTTGTCATTTTGTTTACTCAATAATTATTACCAGTATCATTATTAATTGGCCCGATGATGAGTGCCAGTGCCTGTTTTTTTTTTTTTTTTTTTTTTTTTTTTTTTTTTTTTGATAATTTATTTCTATGTCTCCAGGTATCTGAGGGACAGGAAATGTGTGTACTGGAGGCCATGAAGATGCAGAACAGTCTGCCTGCAGCAAGAGACGGAAAGGTGCGGTAATGACTCGATCTTTTCAGTGGGGGCAAAATTATTAATTTTACAGATATTGTATTTTTTCAAGTCATAAATTCTTAAAGTAAGAACATTCCTGATAGCAACAATATTGATAAACAGGCTACCTTATAGTTCTATTGTATATACAGAAAAAGCACCACAGATGCTACACATGAATTTATTTTTAATGATTTTAAAATTATGTTTCTGAAAAATTGTTTTTCTTCATTGAAAAGATTTTTCTATAAGAATTTGAACTGATAAATGTAAAATGAACTTTTTTCAGTCTATTGGAATTTTGAAGATGGGTTTTAAGGAATGAAAAAAAAAATAATGAAAGTAAAATTGCTTTTCATGGAGTATGTTCTAGCCAACAATTTGCCTTCTTTGTCTTTTTGATTTTCACCTGTTAGCTGATTGCAGTTGGTTTTATACAGAGCATGCTGATATTCAAAACATTTAATGATCATTATGTAAAATATGACTTTCAAAACAAATACAATCTGTTTAATCAAAATTTTGGTCAACAGCAACAAAAAAAGTGCCAAAGTAAATTAATCTCATCACCAAGAACTTTACTAAATTCAAGATTTTATAACCTGGAACAATATAATAGAAAATTACTATCTAATATTTGTAGGTGAAAGCAGTAAACTTCAAAGCCGGAGACACTGTGGATGAAGAGGCAGTCATTGTGGAACTGGAGTAAAACCCTCACCAGGGGGCAGCATTAGAGAAGATGGCAGATGCTGCCAAGGTTCCTTGTAGACACTTATGCTTCAGTAATCATAGGACTGCAGTCAATCAGCACTTACAGAAGGCAGATCATGGGAAATAATTGAGATAATGTGTGGGTTTGACCATCAATTCACAGGAACTTGCTGAAATTTTGTTTGAATTAAATGTATGGGTTGAACCACTCTTGAACAGGGACTTTGATTAATGAGGTAGATGATGTAGTAATATTGGGTTGAATAATACTCGAGCAGGAAGTTGTATTGGATGTAAAATATACAGGAGGGTTAATTGCTGACCAGGTTTATACAAAGATATAACAGTTGCCGCTCTCAAGGTGCTTGTTTTGAATGGTTTTTGTTATGATTGTAAAAGATTTGATGGACTTTTCATTGATGTCAACAATTAGTGCTCTTAAACAGGATGGCTCCATTACTTTATTGACAGACTTTGCTGAATACATGTGTATTAATTTGTAAATGTTTATTATTGCTTCACAATTGTAACATGCAAAAAATCCTATTTACTTGTATTTAGCTTTAAGTGAACTGGTCATGTTAATTCAAGTATTATGTATGGTATGTCTATATGGCTATAAGGCTTTGTAGAGTTGTGCTTTTGTTCATGACTGTTGACTATCTTACGATAGATACAGCTTTCATTTTGAAGTCGTGAGAATTTAAATTTTAGATTGTTCAGTAAAAATGACAACCAGGAAGTCATTCTTGTTTTGATCATATCAAAAACAACAGAACATGAAGGATAAAAGTATCTTCAATCATCAATAAAATTGAATTCCTTTTTGCGATGTTGATACATTTTTTTTAAAGTTAACACTCATAGGAGAAAACTAAATACAAAATTATTAGCTGAAATTTTTATATGAAAGTTTTGAAGTGAATGCAATTAATTGCAAAAAATGTTATTTATATTTGTTATTTTTATGTTTTTAAAAAAATTTTGTTGAAATTTGTTACAGATTATTATTGACTGTACGGGCTAAAAGTAAAATATTAAAATTGGCTAGATGAAGCATTTGTTTTTAGCAAGAAAAGAGTAACCCTCTATAGCATTCATATCTACTGCACAAATTGTTATTTTGCTAAATTTATGTTATTTTGCTTAATTGAATTATGCTATATTTTGCCACTCATGTCAGTTTCTACTGGTATGTATTTATAAATCTGATAATCATTAATATTTCATTGCTATAGGCATTTCATATTGCGTCATGTTATTGTAATGTCATTGTTAAAACATACCCCATTTTGGAAGTGGAATTGTTAAAGTTGCAAAAAAATCGAAATTGTTAAGTGAGATATATAATTATTTTGATATTGCTATTTAACGTATTTCTTGACAAACCAAGAAATATGATATGAATTTAAAGTTATTTTTTAATGAAAGTAAGAAAGTTGCCATCTTATACCTGGGTTTTCTCAAAGAGAGCAGATAGTTTTTGAAAAGGCTGACCCCAAAAATTACACTTATTTCCCCTAGGTTAGTTAAAATAATATCTAGAATATGACCAAATTAGAAATTATGGCTAGTGTCAAGCTTATGTTCTTTCCTCCCCCCCTTTCCTGGGTCCCTACCCCTAACGTGATTTTGGTGATGCAGTTATCTTTAACTAAACTTTAGTCATGAATGAAGCAATACATGTATTTATCAATTTTGTTACTAATATACTGAACAAAATTCAAGGGGATTTTTTTTTTTTTTTGATAAATGTGCACAATGTTTCTTTAAAATTGTTTATGGTTATTTTTTGAAAGGTGTTGAATATTAGTTATTGATAATGCGCATCTCACTGCAAGTTTATCAGTGTATGTCGAGAAAAGTGATTAATTTTATTATTATGATAGTTTATGTAATTCAATTTTTGTCATCATTATTATTATTTTTATTTTGTTCAGTATATTTTTCTCTAAAATCTGTGAGTAAGAGCTAGAGGCAATAGTGTTTAAATCTTGTAGTTCTATGTTTAGATGTGTAATGCAGTGTGTTTCTCTGAGGTTTGATATTCTTTAGGTCTAGCTTTCATTACAGTCATAATTACACAAACTTTATAACCATTATTTGCTGTACATAGCATTAAATGGAAATATACTGCAATTTTAGCGTGAAAAATTGGACTCAGAACAATGAAAATTCTGACATAGTTTCAAGGGTATTGTATAAAGAGATTGTCTAGTGTAACAGGCACTGGAAACAAGAAGAAATGTTTCAGAGAAAAGTCCATGTACTTTCCTTTTGCTCGAAAGTTTTTTATTGTTTTGATGGTGGTGATATATATATAGAGAGAGAGATAGCACAAATATAGAGTGAATGTAAGCCAAATGCTTTCATGTCTGATTTATACAGCAATATACTGAATAAAAAAATCATTTATAAGTCAAAATTTTCTCCCTCTTGCTTGGGAAGGTAACAGTAAGGAGTCTGACTCAGTAATAAATCATTGAACATCCACAGCAATTTCTTAAACAGAAAAGTCAAACGTTTCTCCCTCTTGCTTGCGAAGGTAACAGTAAGGAGTCTGACTCAGTAATAAATCATTGAACATCCACAGCAATTTCTTAAACTTAAAAGTCAAATGTGAAGGTATACTTTCCTTTATCACAGTGTCTTAAATAAGGATGTTCATTGGCAGTTACATGCAAATAAGTTTTAGACATATTATGTAACGTAAAATAACAAATCTAACATTAAAAGTTAACTGTTAAAGTTCATAGGGAAGAAAAAAGAAAATAAGTAACTCGCCCAATGTGGGGCTCGAACCCACGACCCTGGGATTAAGAGTCCCATGCTCTACCGACTGAGCTAACCGGGCTACTTAAAGACACAATGGTTGCAAGTAAAATTTAACTTGTACTGCTCGTATTGGCGCGCTTTCCATTGCAAAGAGACTAACAAAGAGTTTATTGTACTGAATTTTCTTTAGTTTGGTTCAAAACAGGAAAAATTGTCCCGTGGGAGAGACCTGAAAGAGCTGAAAATGACCATCAGGAAGTGATTATTAACCTTCTCTGAGTCTGATCGCGCCTCTTTAAATTCGCGCCAGTTACTAGGGTAAACATGATTACCTCTTCAGATTTTTGCGAAATATATCGTAACGTTGTCACGGCCGTGGTGTTTTAGATTGGCGCAAAATTTACAAACATAACAATCCAAGCATATTTTGTTATCAAGTAGCTACGTATGATTGATTTAGGTCAGATCTTAACATAGTCGATCGGCCGATTGTTTCTGACCTACTTTTCCTCTTCATTAGGCTTTCGAGTCTCTGCTCTCTCCGCGGACGCATCAGTCTCCCAAAAATCAGCCAATCGCGTCCCTCAAAACCTTCCAAGATTCTTCCAAGATTTGCTCACTGGCCAATCACGAGGCGTTGAGCCTTCCAAGTTCTTCCATGCGTTAAATTAACGTCGACCAAATAAAAAAACGTTTTCTTTTTATGTCTTTTTTTTTCTTTCGACACGCTCGAAATTCGATCACTATCTATGGATGTAATACCGTTTAAGATTGCCATGACGCTAATTATTGTATGACCTAAATTCAACTTATGTACAGGCCCTATCTCTGTTCGATCAGCATTTTGCAGACCTCTCTGTTTAAAATGCGGTCGAATTTGGACCGTCCAACACGCACCACACAGACAGCTCATGACCCTTACTTACATTAATAAATAGTGATCCCTTAAAATTTAATTTTTCATTTCAATATATGTGACAGAAGAATAGGCCCCCTATACATTGCCAAGGCGGACTTTCACGCACTAAAACATTAATAATTTACGCCTATGCAGGTGTGTGAAACGTTCGAGTTGATCGCTTTTCCAGCGATTTTTATCTTTGGCGCGAGTTCTATGCATTTCTGGCATGAATTTCTCTTATTTATGGGTTATGCACTTGTTAACTTGATGTACACTCTTGTAAAATAGAACAGAGTCCCTAGTGAGGATCTATCTATCTAGATCTATCTATCCGTGATCTAATTCACGGTGCCAAACATAAATTGTAGTAGTAAATTGCATACAGAATTAGCTAGTTGGCATATTTGTGAATGTCTAGTGAGACCCTCCAAGCCAAGCCTCATGCATTTCGCTGCAAGTGCAGAGGAATTAATTTGATGATCGATTTGTAAAGCTACCCCAGTAGCCTATAGCCAAAAATAAACCAAGAGATCAACAAGTCATACCTGACGATTCAAAATATTTCATTGTTATTTTTTACTTGAATAACGGAAAACCTACCTGTAGGCTACATTTAAAGGCCCCTAGTAGCCTACGTGTACATGTATATTTTAAAGTCAAACATTTAGAAGGTAGACGGATGAAGATTGTAGGCCTATATGGGAGTGATAAACAGATATGCAGCTACAGGGTTTTTTTTTTTTTTTTTTTCAACTATTTCACAACTTTTTCTCATGTACATTTTCTTCACTTATTATTAATTTGACTACCCACGAAAGCATACCTTTTCCTTTCAACAGAGTTCTCTGCAAATGTTTACAATGACAAGCGCAGTGAACTTCAATTAACGTAGTTCAATCAAGAAGTTTTCAATAATGAACAACCTGTCTTGCGTCAATTCTGAAGCTCAGACCAGACCATAACCTCTATTATACATAACAGTTGACAGTTTTTTAACTATCTTTTCTTCTGCGGCCACTTTTATGTTAATTAACGGTAACATTCACAGAAACGCGGGCTTGCCTGAATAAACGACATCAATGAAACTCTCATTCATTAAAACCAAGTTTGTTTGTTAAATAGCATATATTAAATTATTGACGACAGTTTGTGGATATACGGAGCATCTCCCATTCAAAGTTGCTTGCCACAGTTTTGTGTTTAGGAACACACGTGCGCATTTCTCACGTGGTTATGTATTCAATCACTGCGCGTGTGTACAATGTCAACACTGCAGCAATGACCTCGGTGATAAAAATAAAGGAAGTCAAGAAAACTTGCGGGTTCATCACATGAAATTGTTCCAGCCGATTTACTTCGCCTGGGAGCGTGATTTGTACTTATATATACATTGCCAAATACACTTTGAATTTCAATTGTGCTGCGGGGCAAATAAATAAAAGTATGGTTAAGGACATTGTCTATTCCTGTGTCTTCTCAGATGTGGTTAGATAAATGGAGCTCACTCAATTAATCGCAACGAATTGTTCAAATGCAACGGAAGAGAGCTAAACTAGAGGTGAGCAGGGTTTAATCATTTATTTGTTCGTTTCTTTATTTTGTTTTTCTTCTTCTGTCGAATTTTCTTCATGCCTAATCGCAGGTTTTTGTTTAATAGAATATTATTAGTGGTATTTAGTATATATGTTTCTTCCAGGTTTATTCTAGGATGTTGGGGTTACATGGGTTGATTTGTTGTCTTTTTCTCGCTTTTGTCGTCGCTAGGCAAACTTAGCACTCAGATATCATATATTTTTAATTGTTGTTTGTATTTTTAAGTCTAGTTGATAGATCTATCAGTGTTTTTGAGTAAACATTTAAAAAAAAGAAATTGTAGCTCTATGGACTACAAATCTGACAAGTTTTTTTCATCTTGTTTGCCAGTAAAACTATAAAGAAAAAAGTTGTTATTCCTTGTTCGTTCGCCTTTTCATTTCCATTTTGTAAAGTAAAAAAAAAGCCAGGGCATGTTGTACCTAAATTGAATTTCTCATCTATGTTCCAGTGCGTCAGATTTTTGACAGTTCGTCCCATCTTGTGTTTCATTATGTCAGGTAAAATTACTTTGCTGAAGACGCCAAAATGGCAAGAGATTATTTTTCTTATTTTCCATCTTGGATTGATCCACCGCTCAGGTAAGCTATACCCTAGTTGTTGTTCAGTGCTGGGTAAATACAGTTGTTTGGCGGTTCGATATTTTGTTTAGAGAAGAGGCAAGTTAAATATTAAAGAATGATGATGATTTACCAAATAAAGAAAACATCGCCTACTCTCATGAGAGTGAGCCTTATTGATTGGTCATGCCTCTTTTAATCTCATTCAGTAAAATGTTTTTCTGGTCACAAACTCAAAAAATATAGGTTTCATATTTCAAAGAAAATTCAATTCAAGACAATTCAATGACATTTTTTCGCCTCAACCGGCAACTTTAAAACAGTAGACAATGGAATTTTAACTACATGAATTATGCATGTATGTTGTCCTCTATTCGGACCACAAATGGATTTCTTTTATATATATTCACAGATATTTCTCAGGCTTCTTCTATCCATATTTTTTCTTTTTTTTTCGCATATAATTGACGTCTTCGCTGAACTCTGATAGAGCGTACTAATATTTAGTTTACGATAGAAAAACACCTGTAGTAATTTATTAACGAAGGGAGGAGAAGGAGAGGAAGATGTAATCTCAACAGCCAAGAGAGACGCTTATCCCCCTCTGCCCCCTTCACCCCCCTCTTCCTCCCGATTTCGCCATCGACAACGTCAATTATGATTTTTTTTTTCAGTATCCGATTTCACCACATACGTCGGCTCTGCTGCACCAGGAGCTATCAGACAAAACACCAGTCTGAACACGGAATACTTGTGCCTGTTTGCCTGCAGCAAAAGTGACTCGTACGTACTTGCAAAAAAAAAAAAAAAAAAAAAAAAAAAAAAAAAAAAAAAAAAATATATATATATATATATATATATATATATATATATATATATATATATATTCGTACTTGTAGACCGGATCTTGTTGTCATCATGAATAGCGTGTCGCTGGCTTCTGGACAAACGCAACATATATATACCTACTGCTGCTTATTTTTGGTATTTATGCTCCCCTGGGCGGTGAGATCATTTTAAGTTAAATCACATAAAAAGGAAAAAAAATTCAACCCTCGTGATCGGCTTTTTTCGTTTGTTGCGGATAACAATGTATAAACCCAAATTTTACTCTTTTTCTGGTCACCCCCTACAGGTGCATTGCCGCAGATTTCAACCACCAGATGACAGCGTGTGCCTTTCACGTTGTCAACTCCAGCTGTGCCGACATCTTTCAAACGGACTGCTGCACACACTACAGGAAAGTGCCTTGTTCGACATCAGACGGTGAGTATTGACTGTGCCCGTTATTGGAACTGGACGGTTTAAAGCTACAGTGCGCGAACTGCTGGCTTATTTCTCTTCATACTAACAGTATTCATGTTATATACTTTTACCATTTACATGTACCAGTTGTGAACACATTAATCGGTGTTGATTTGTAACAATTATATTATATTATATTATATTATATTATATTATATTATATTATATTATATTATATTATATTATATTATCATTGAACTATGATAATTGATTAGTATATAATAATAATTTGAAAAATAAAAGAAATTGAACCCACTCCGCCGTGT